GCAGTTGTGGTAAGTGCTGCAAAGGAAAAGTGATAAGAATATATATTAGGGAGACCTAACTTAGTCTGGGCCCTGAAGGATGAATTGGTGAAAAGGGAAGGAGAGGAAATCCCTCCAGGGATAGTACATTGGCAGACCAGAAAGAGTGACAGGGATCTAGAGAAGAAGGGAGAGAGTACCTGGAGTTGAAGTTGGAGAGAGAGGTAGAGGACAGACGATTCAGGGACTTGTTAGCTGGTTTAAGACTTTAGACTTTCTCCTAAAACATTTGGAGAGACATCGAAGGATTTTAAGTTGGAGAGAGATCAGGTTTACCTTTTGAAAAGATCGCTCTTGATAGGGTGGGAAGAATGAATTTCACTGAACAAGAGTAAAATCTTGAGCAAGTAGTAAGGAGGACATTGTGATAGGCTGTTCAGAGCTGATGGCAGCGGTGAGGATGTAGAAAATGATGTAAGCAGTGCTTAGCAAGAGACTTGGCAAGACTTGGTGATCGATTGCTTGTGGAGGCTAGCAACCGGCAAAATGTTGATTGGATAAAGGAGCCTGCAGTTTAAAAAACAAAAAACAATAAAAGATTGAACGCTACTGGATTGGATGAGCTTAAATATTCTATCTAGTTCTTAAATTAAAAAGAAGAGAAATTCTAAGTCTTTCTAAGTGCATTTATACTTTCTGCTTATCCCACTAACTAGGGTGTGGGTTCCATCAGCTTATCCCCTGCTGTGGAAGAGAGGTTGCAGAGTGGGGGGCTATGGTTAAGGCACCTGTGTCCATATAATGAAATTATGTAGGTCCTGCGAAGTGTCCTCGGAATCCTAATTGACTTAGCAGCATTCTGGGGGAAGGGGAGGACCCCCGTGCTCTGACCAGGATGCTCAGTGAAATCGTTCACTTGCAGGAGCCAAAACTGTCCATACGAGACACAGAGATTGACCTGCCCATCCCCCAGTTTTCCCCTGTGGTTTGGACTCCTTGGTCCATCCGTAAGTGTCACACATTCAGCCAGACCACACACAGTCCTGCCTCCATGCCTTTGCTTGTGATGGTCCTTTTTGGAATGTCTCCCCTCAGACACTCATGTATGGGGCCTTCTTCCAGGCCTGGGCCTGGTCCCACCTGTGCTGCAAAGCTTTCCTTGGTCACCCCAGCTCTCTCCACGTGGGCAGCAGTCAGGTATCTGGCTTTTTTCTTGCCTGATTGTAAATATTCCATTTTCATTGTACACACGTCACAAAACACATCAGTTAGGAGACGTGGCCAGCATTTAATGTGTGTACTATGCATTTGGTATATACAGCTCAGTATCATTTTCCTTTGTTGTGTATAGACTATTTTCCCATTTGCCCAAGAGAAAGATATATGAGGTACTCTGATCTACCTAAAAATACCCTTTTTTAGTCAGTGAGGTTCAGAAAAATCCTAGATACCACCACCTAAACACGGTCACCTCCTCACCCTGGAGCAGGCATGCCAGTACCTCCTGGATGGAGCCAGGAAAAGTGTGGGGCGTGACCGGAAGGGCTGGTTGCCCCCTCCTGCAGGGGCTCAGGTGTGTTTCCGCCATGCGCTGTTGCAGGCCCCGGAACTGCTGGAGCAGCAGAAGTACACGGTGACTGTCGACTACTGGAGCTTTGGTACCTTGGCTTTCGAGTGCATCACGGGCTTCCGGCCTTTTCTCCCCAACTGGCAGCCTGTGCAGTGGTGAGTGAGAGACCACGGCCCTGGGGACAGGGGTGGGCGGGTTCGGGAGAGTCTCCTGAAGGAAGGAGTATGTCCCTTTGTCTTTGTCGTGTCGCTTCACCTGTTCCCATCTCACTGGGTGCTCCCAGGCTAGGCCTGAGCCATCTGTGATCTGTCTTCCAGAGAGCAAGTCCTGTTGGGACCCAGCATATAGGCAGTACGAGCTCCAAAGACCAGAAAAGTAGAGCAGTTGTCAAGTGTGAGCATCATTAAATATAATACCATACAAATCGCCTTTGTCCCATGTTCAGTAGCAACAAGTCAGTACATTCACAGGCTGTTGTGTAAATGTGTACACTCACCCTGGCAACAAAGCAAGGATATGCGTGCAAGACAAATGAGAAATATTTACATGAACATTTATTGTTGACAATTTTTACTAAACCTGAATGTACATTTTTATTTTAAAAGTATAAGAAGATGGCTTAAAATATGAACCAAATAAGTTACAAAGAAAGATTTTCTAGTAAAAAAACCAAAGGGTACAATTAAGTTTTTAAATGTCCTTGAACTTTTTTTTATTATAAAAATGTGTTATCATTATATATGTTAATCATTACTGAAATGCCTAATTTAAAAATTAACATTCCTTCCCCAGACGGTTTAGCTCAGTGGATAGAGCGTCTGCCTGGGGAAGGTCCTGGGTTCGATTCCAGTCAAGGGCATATGCCTAGGTTGCAGGCTCGACCCCCGGTAAGGGGTGTGCAGGAGGCAGCTGATCAATGATTCTTTCTCATCACTGATGTTTCTATCTCTCCCTCTCCCTTCTTCGCTGAAATCAATAACAATATATTTTTTAAAAATAAATAAAAATTAACATTCCCCTAAATTAGTTAGGTTTCTTTCAGAATTGTTCCCTGAGAGCCACACACTAATTTAAACTACTGTGGCTCAAATTTTTTGTTTGTTTTCAGTTTTTAGTTTTTTGGAGTAGTAATGTTTCATGGTTCAAACTTCAGACTTCAGACTTCAAAAAGCGTAAAAGAGTATACAGTGCAAGTTACGTCAGACTGGTCTCCCAGCCTGATTTCCTTCCCCACAGGCACCCGATAGCATTGGTTTTTGGTATGTTTCCACGGATGTTTCATACACATACAAGCAAATTTGGCTTGTATTTGTTTGTTTGTTTATTAATGTGTTTCTCCCTCTTTTTCACCTCAATGGTAGCATAATAGGAACTCTGTCTTGTATGTGCTCCTAAAGCAGTTTCACAGGGTGAGATTTCTTTCACACACCTCGAAACAACCACGATGAACATTTGTGTGTGTCTCCAGGCTCTTCGGTGTGTGTGTTATACTTAAAAAAACCCACACCACACAAATAAACTACATAGTCCCATAGAACCTGCTTTTCAAACTTAGTGTTGAAAATGCTTTATGTTTTTCCATGTTATTTGTAATGTCTGTCTGGTGTGCTACCGCGTGGCCGTTCTACAGCTTATTTAGCTTATCCCCATTACTGGAAGCATGGGTGGTTTATAATTTTTACTTTTGAAAAAAACACCAAGATAACATCCTTGTAGGAAAATTCTTGTCTATTCACAATTAGTTTTCCTCAGGACAAATTTCTAGAAATGGAAGCAACAGATCAAAGATTATACATGTTTTAAAAGTTTTTGATGTGTAGCAACAAAATACTCAATAGAAAAGTTATATAAATACTGTCTCCACCAGGAACATACAAAGCTATCCCGTTCACCACACCCTTGCCAACACTGGCTGTTGTCATTTTTCTACCTTTCTGGAAGTAGTAAAAACAATGAACTTTTTCAAAAACAGGTATTTTTTTTTTTTATCATGAGAACACTTATTTATGAGAATAAGATGTAGCCTTTGAAATCTGTTTCAGAGCCTTTGTGTGTGATGGCAGTCCAGTCAAGCCTTATACACCAGATGTTGGAAATGCAAAGATGCATGAGGTGAAGGCCCTGCTCTTGAGGAGTCCTGTGAAATGACAAAATATGCCCTCCTGTGGTGGCTTATTTTAAAACAAGTAATGCTTGTTGGTTTGCACAGGTTCTGAATATTGAGGAATTATCTATTAATTAATTTATAGTTACAATTTATTCTGTAACCATTATGAAAAAAATTTTAAGTATCTGTACAGCTGTAGTTCCCTAACTAACCAAAGAATTACTGCATTTCTTCAGTTCAAATGTTGACCTTTTCTAGTATTTATAACAAAATCAGTTAAAATCCATTAGGAATGGAAGAACAAGTGCTCTTTGAAAATATATTCCTAATGGCTCATCATCTTCCTAGTAAGTCTGTTGTCTGCAGAATCAGATTCCTAGAACTTCCCTCATTGGTGCTGGAAGGCCAGGTGACCACTTTCTAATGGATTTCTCAGCCCAGTAAGAAGCTGTGCAGTGGACTAGTGTGTGAGAAGCGCCTGTCTCATCTGCTTTATAAAGCCGCAAACAACTCTTAAAATTTGACTCTCTCATTTCAGATGGCAGGTAGATGGTAATTTCAGGACAAATGTAATTTCAGCTTTATTATTTGATTATAAAGCTACTTTGCAATACATTTAGGACTTAAGCAATAAGCATTTTATTTACTATGTCCATCTATTTTTATAATTTCCCATTGACAGACTAGTATTCTATTAGAGAGTGGTTCTCAACCTTCCTAATGCTGCGACCCTTTAATATAGTTCCTCATGTTGTGGTGACCCCCAATTTCATTGTTACAAATTGAACATAAGTAAAGCATAGTGATTAATCACAAAAACAATATGTAATTATATATGTGTTTTCCGATGGTCTTAGGCGACCCCTGTGAAAGGGTCGTTTGACCCCCAAAGGGGTCGAGACCCACAGGTTGAGAACTGCTGTATTAGAGGCTCATCCCACTTGAATGTAATGAAGAGTCTTGGTGCACCTGACTTACACAGTCAGTTTCAGCCAGAGCTGTAAGCCACCAGCCTCGGCCATCTGCCAGCTCTTTGAGGTTTCCCATGAGCCAGTTCACCCTTTACTAATGAGAAGTGTTCACGGGAATACTTTGTATTTAAATTTCCTAGGTGTTTTTGGAAAGGAAAGATTCAGACATTCAAAAGAACACCAGACTTTGGATTTGAGTTCCCAGTTCTGCCATTCTGTAGTTGTATGACCTTGGGCAAATCACCTGCTCTTTATTTCCTTACCACTGAATGGGAGTCTAAAAACAGTGTCTGCCACATGCAAAGGAAGTGCCTATTCAGTGTCAAAGTACTTGCTTAGCTATGAAGCATTATTCAAATTATTACCCTGTCACCAAGAAGATTTGAAACTGGTTGGACTTTAATTTTTTAAATATATTTTTATTGATTTTAGAGAGTAAGGGAGAGAGAGAGAGATAGAAACATCAATGATAAGAGAGAATCATTGATCGGCTGCCTCCTGCAAGCCCCCAACTGGGAATCGAGCCCACAACCCGGGCATGTGCCCTTGATCGGAATCGAACCCGGGACCCTTCAGTCCATAGGCCGATGCTCTATCCACTGAGCCAAACCAGCTAGGGCTAATTTTTTTCCCCTTTAAATACTATTTCAGGTGCACCGATAAGTTCTCTAAATTTGGAAATGTAAAAGTTCATTTACCCTTAGAAATAATATTTAGCCATATACATTTAGAGCAGTGGTTCTCAACCTTCTGGCCCTTTAAATCCAGTTCCTCATGTTGTGACCCAACCATAAAATTATTTTCATTGCTACTTCATAACTGTAATGTTGCTACTGTTATGAATCGTAATGTAAATATCTGATACGCAGGATGGTCTTAGGCGACCCCTGTGAAAGGGTCATTCGACCGCCAAAGGGGTTGCGACCCACAGGTTGAGAACCGCTGTTTTAGAGGGAAGTGCATGTGTTGTGCGTATTTCCTGTAAATGTGATATGTGCATAGTCATGGTTTGGAAGTCCCAGTTTTATCCTCCATCAAAACATGGGAGTTTTGAATTAGAGAAAATGATAAGGACGGGCCAAGGATGAAATGAGTCAGCAGCTCCATCTGCAGACCTCTGGGCACAGGAGGGTTAATGACTCTACTCATTCAGGCAGTACCATCATTCTTACTAGTGAATGCTCACAGGAGCCTTCCTACCAGGATACACATGCACTGACCATTACCTGAAGAGATTAAATAGTGACCTGGGAGGTATCCTGCACAGTTGTAAAGTGACATGTTACAAGTGTCCAATGGCTCTTGACCACGAAGTGAGTTAAGGGCTGTAAGTAACAAGAATGCACGCTTGCAGGCATTCCAAAGTCCGGCAGAAGAGTGAGATGGACATCGTCGTTTTTGAAGACTTGAATGGAGCAGTGAAATTTTCGAGCTCTTTACCCTACCCCAATAATCTTAACAGGTAAGGTACAGTGGCATTTTTCTTCAACACATTTTTTCCACTCTTTGAAATAGATGTCTGAGGTGACAGCTGATAGCTTTTAAATGGGTTATCAGGATATCAACCTATGATAAAAATTGGACATAATCCTTCTTAGTCTTAAACTTTGGTGGATTCCCAGCCCTAGCCCCATCTAGAAATCTTCTTTTCTAAATTCACATAGCAATTTATATGTACCTTTGATTACGATTAGTAGCTTCAACCTTGTGTCACATTTGGTTTTGCATTGAGTTGATCTCCTACTCACCTGTAAGCCTTTTAAGGGTTGGGAATATTTCTCCTTGCATTGCTTATGTAACCGAGTACTGTGTAATAGCCAACAAATAAACATTTATAGTTTGAACAGCATTGCAATCTGGTCTTAGAGTCAGAATATGAACAGTTAAACAATAATATCAGAATTGGGGAATGGTACAAAAGAAAGCCAGAAGGCAGTCACATTATCCATGAATAGCATGGATAACAATTACCGTGAGTATATAGAGGATGGGGAGATGTATTGTGTGGATGAGAGCTATGTGGAATGACTTTGGCTGAGCTAGCACTTGGTGGAAGGATTTGGAAAGATGTGCAGGACATGGATAGATAAAGAGGAAGGAAGTTCAAAGGGGAAGAATTGGGGGGAGCAAAGGCACGTTTAGGGAACCAGTCAGTAGCAGTACTGGCTTCATGAAGGGCTTTCGTGGGGGTGGCGAGAGGTCAGCTGAGACCTTACAGGAGGCAGGTTGGGGAGGGCCTGCAGTGCCAAGGGAAGGAGTGACCTTTGTCATGTGGACCTTTGACGAGGTGATTAACCACATAAGTCCAGCAGCAGGGGTTCCAGGTTGAGTGGGGGGATCACCCGGAGGTCAGGCACGCCTATAAGTGCATTTACAAAGCTTAGATCATCTCACAGAGCCAGTTGGACATCAGCCTATTGACCCATCTGCTGAGAAATCCCTAATTTTGAGGGTTTTTTTTTTTTTAACAGACCAGGAGAGGGGATAAGCACCTGAATAATTAAGTTGGTTGGAAATGTTTACTTTTTCTCTCATATTAATTCATTTTAAGTGATTATTTTATTGGCTGCCATCCGTGTGTATAACAGTGAAATGGACGTGTGTGCTTTTTAATCCCACGTGAAGGCCCCCTGAAATTTGCATTAGAGGCGTCCCTCCTACATTGTGCTCCTCTTCTTCTCAGCATCCTGTTGCAGCGACTGGAGAAGTGGCTGCAGCTGATGCTGATGTGGCACCCCCGGCAAAGGGGCACTGACCCCGCGTACGGGCCCAATGGCTGCTTCAAGGCCCTGGATGACATCTTAAACTTAAAGGTGAGCGTGGAGGCAACAGCTCAGATCCCCATGGGACACAGCAGTTGTTATGAGAAAGAAATACTCATTAAAAACCAGGTCATGGGCCGCCTGACCATTGGGGAAATTTAGGCTGCTGTGAGAATATCTCTCTACATAAATAAGAGGATAGAACCCGTGCTGACTGACATAGGTCCTAAAGTTGTAGCTATGGACAAACACGAATATTACAGACTAGAGTATATGTACCAGGGCCCTCAAGCTAGGCCCTTGCTTTGTGTGGCTGGGAAGTGTTGGGAGTAGCAAAGGATCCAGAGATGGGCATCTCTGTAAAGTTGGGATTTTTCAATAACATCTGGGTTGTGTTGCAGCTGGTTCATATCTTGAACATGGTCACAGGCACCATTCACACCTATCCAGTGTCAGAAGACGAGAGTCTGCAGAGCTTAAAGGCCAGAATTCGGCAGGACACAGGAATCCCTGAGGAGGACCAGGAGCTGCTGCAAGAAGCAGGTCTGGCGTTGATCTCCGACAAGCCTGCCACTCAGTGTATTTCAGACGGGAAGGTGAGCCCTGGGCTTCTTGCAGCATGCCCTGTTTTACCCTGACATTGCCTGCAAGGAAAATAATCATGCATTCAGATGTTAGCTCTACTTAGTCAGTTCTGCTCATCACACAGATACCTGCCTGTTTGGAATGAGAGATCCCCTGTGTGTCCTAATAGGAGACACCAATCACTCCACACCTGTCTTGTTACTTCCAGGCCACTTAAGAGTGCCTTTATTTTGCCTTTGTTGTCAATGTGATGCTTCATTTTTCCAAGTCAACCCAAAACTATTGATGATGTGCCTCTTGTGTACAGAACTGTGCTGACAACCACAGCAATGCAAGACATGGTCCCTACCCCCACAAAACTGATTGAAGTTAACATGTCAGAAACAATCATTGGAGAGAAAAGGAGATAGCAAATGTCTAAATTGCACTTAAAAGACAATCACAGAATAAAAGGGAATGTAATAAGTTGCAAATGAGGTGTATGTTGGGATAAATAAGTATAAAAGGAACAGGAAAAGTTGCAAATGAGGTGTACATTGGGATAAATAAGTGTAAAAGGAACAGGAAAAGGAAGTAGAGGCCAGTTGGGTGCTTAGTACTTGCTGGCTGAAGACGATGCTGTTGGTGAACAGTGGGAAACACTCTGAAATATCTTCATTATTACTTGGATAAAGGCGGGGTTGGATTCAGGAGATCTCATTTTGTTCTTGTCCCTTCGCAGCTCAACGAGGGCCACACATTGGACATGGATCTCGTTTTTCTCTTTGACAACAGTAAAGTCACCTATGAAACTCAGATCTCCCCACGGCCCCAACCTGAAAGTGTCAGCTGTATCCGTAAGAACGTCATTGTGGTTATTTGTTGTTGTTTTCAATAGTCACTTATAATGCTTGGGACAAGGCAGGAGGGAGAGACATGGGCCAGCAGAGGGGTCCACACCAAGATCAGCTTACTCTATCCTCGGGGCAGCCTTCTTTACTAGGGACACGTGAGGAGTAGCCCAGCCAAAAAAGAGTAAAGGAAGTCTTCAGTTAATGTCAGCCTCTAGGTAGCATTTGAAACGGACAGAGAACACTGCCTGCAAGCCACTGACCTTGAATCAGGTGGCCATTTTATTTATTTTTGAGTTTATTTATATTTTAATAATGGATACATCCACATATGCCAAAAAAATCAAAAGGTGCAAGAACATATAGAGTGGAAAATAAGCCATCCTCTCTCCCCAGTACCCCAGCCTCTTCCAGAGAAACTGCTACTATCAAATTCTTGAGTATACCTTCCAGGGGTATTCTACGCATTATATATATATGATTATATATATATATATATATATATATATATATATATATGATTTTATATATATATATATATGATTATATATGATTATATACTAGTATTTCTTCATTTCCCCCTGAAACAAATGGTAGCATACAATATGTACTGTTCTGTATCTGCCTTTTTCACTTAATACATTTTGGAAAATATTTTTCCTCTTTTGCTGCCTATTTTTTAAATGCCTGTGTAGTGGTATTCCATTGTATGAATGTTAGATAGACATTTTAAAAATGTTTTTTAATCCTCAATTGAGGATGGTTTTTTAAAAAAAAAAATGTTTTTATTGATTGTAGAGAGAGAAAGGGAGAGAGAAAAAGAGATAGAAACATCAATGATGAGAGAGAATCATTGATCGGTTATCTCTTGCATGTCCCCTGCTGGGGATCAAGCCCACAACCCAGGTATATTGTCCTGACTAGGAATCGAACTGTGACCTCTGGGTTCATGGGTCGATGGTTAACAATGGAGCCACACCAGTGAGGCCAAGGATGTTTGTTTATTGTTTAATTAATTTTATTTTTTATTGTTGTTTCGGGGTAATTTTTTAAAAATTTATCTTTATTGTTGAAAGTATTACAGATGTCCCCCCTTTTTCCCCATTGACCCCCTCTACCCTGCCCCTGCACTGCCTGCCCTCCGTACCCCAGCCTTCACCACACTATTGTCTATGTCCATGGTTTTTTATTGATTTGAGAGAGAGTGAGGGAGAGAGGGAGAAAGAAACATTGATGTGAGAGAGAAATATTGATCAGTTGCCTCCTGTATGCACCCTGATGAGGAATCAAACCTGCAACCTTTTGGTATATGGGATGACGCTTCAACATACTGAGCCACCCAGCCAGGGCGAAGGACATTTTAATGTACCTCCCAGTCCTGTGTACACACACACACACACACACACACACACATACACACACACACAGAATAAGCAGATCAAGTGTTCAAAGGCTTAGAGATCTCCAGGCTTATTGCTTAGTCATCTTCCAGGACTGACTGCTGGTTGAAGCTGCATTTTTAGAAAGCTTCATATGACCTTAAATATTGTGAGCATGGAAGTTTCTATTGAAATTATATGAGCCTGTGTACGTATGACCATCTCCACATGATTCACAAAGCCTTTCTTCAAATCAAATCTAAAGCTGTTTATTGACTAGTGCATGCTTGTTCTGTAATGGGGTACACGGATGTATGAGAGAGTAACCAGGCATAGCACCCCAAAAAGTCCTGTAATAACATAGTAGTTATGTAACTTTTTAAAATGTAAAAGTGCCAGTGATGTTGCAAGGCAGGATGTGGTTAATGGTAGGGGAGTAATTCTCTGACAATTGCATATGACTCTGTTCCAGTTCAAGAGCCCAAGAGGAACCTGCCTTTCTTCCAGCTGCGGAAAGTGTGGGG